CCTGCAGTGAGCAGGGACACTGCTAACTAGATCAGATTGCTCAGAGCCCCATCCAACCTGGCCTTGAATGTTCCCAGGGATGGGGCCTCCACTACTGTGAAATCCATTTGTCCTGACTTTTAGCAAGCCCGAGCATCGCGGGCTTGGCATGCAGGGCCTGACGCAAGGTTTGGGTTCTGTATCTCGATCCCTCATGCAGCTATGGGACATCAAAGCCCGGACAGCAGGGCTGGGGCCAGCACTGACTCCAGCATCCTATATTTTTGTTAACCCAGAGCATCCCCAGCCTGTCCCCCCACCCAGCAAGTGGAGGGGGTTAAAAGGAAACATGGAAAAAATTATCAACCCCCTCCAAGAGTTCCCAGATGCCAATGAGCGCTGGCATTTCTGGCCAAACCCCTTTGGCTTGCAGACTGTCCCCAAATGCATCTTTTTTTCCCCATTTTAGCCCTAGGGCAGGTCTTGCCCTTGCAGAAGAGCGGAGGTGAATACCTCTGCGTACCCAGGGTTTGCCCTGGAGCAGAGGCAAAGCTGGAGCGGGAACCGGTGGGGGCGGAAGAGCCCCATGGGGGCTGTGGGAAACCGGGATGCAGGAGCTGGGGGAAAGGACCTTTAAGGAAGAGATGATATTTGAGCCATCTGCTCTGTTCTTACTCCTCAGTCTGCAGGAAGGAAAGCCTCCCCGTTAAATGAGCCGTGTGATAATTAGCAGGAGTTAGCGGAGTTTATTAAAAATTAAGCAACCTACTCGAGATTCTGTAGGAAAAAGTCATTTTCTGGCTCAAATACCCTAAATTGCTGGTGGCATTGTAATGCTGTGCCATTAACCAGCGGCACCGCGGAGGAAAGGACAAACAGCAAATGCCGTCGTGCAACCACCGGCTGCTGCACCTTTGCTTCTTTTGCCGCAGCCGGAGGACCCCAGCTGGGAGGTCATCCCTCCCCGTGGCTTCCCCCCGAGACATGTGCCCTGCAGGGCTGGGGAAGCCGTGGCTTTGCTCATCCTTGTCTGCCCCATTCGGGGCTGGGACCGGTCGGGGATGTGCCAAGCGGCTCCCTGGTGCTGTTTCTTTGTAAAGAGGTTGCTTCCCAGTGCAAGGAGGAAGGGGCTGTTTTGTTATGGTGCCGTTGGTGCTTGTATAGGAACACGGGATGAGCTGGCAGGGCAGCCCCAGCGGGGATGACTTTCCCTCCAGCATCCTCTCCAGGGGTTGGGTCTCTCTTTGTCCACCCTAAAGGCGCAAATGCTGGGGAGCAAAAATGGCAAGAAATGGGGTTGGAGCATCACCAGAGCTGGGATTTTCTGACTCCTAGAAGGCTGATGCCGTCCATCCCCGGGCTGGTTGTGGCTCTGCTGCTCTGTTGGCAGCAGGACCGTGGGTGCAGGTGTGGGTAGTGCTGGGGCGCACGAGGGTCTCGGTGGCATGAGGACGTGAAGGCATTCCCTAATGTCCCATGGCACGGGCAGAAGCTCCAGCATGCCCAGGAGGAGCAGAAGCTCCCCTGAGATGTGCAAAACCCCACGGCACAACGACCCCTTTCTCCCAGCCCCTGGAAATCTCCCATTCTGCCTCCCACAGCGAGGTGCACCCAGGGCGGGTCTGCACGAGGGAGCTTGGGCTTTAAATCCTCCCCCGTCTGCACCGGGTGCTGCTTGGAACCTGGGCGAGTTTCGCACATCGCCACTGAGGGGAAAGTCATTTCGTCCCTGTTGGTTTTGCTGTTCATCCCTCAAGTCATTTGCCACCGCCGTGACTGAACAGATCACCTCAACCTTCAGCCCAGCCCTGGTGTAAAACTGAAGCATGCACGGCTGCCTAATGGATCAAACGCTACCGGTGCTGCCGTTAAATAATAATCATTAAAAAAAAAAAAATTGGGGAAAAAAAAAAAAGTCCAAGCCAGCTGTTTTGCACAATAAGGCTCTGGTTTATTTTTTTAACAATGAAAATGTAATGAAAGTTAAATTAACAGCGTAAAATATGTAACAGTTGGGCTGTAACGGCTGCATACTAAATGCTGGGGTTTGTCTCTTCCTCACTCGCTCTTTTTTCCCCCCTCTCCTTTTCCTCCTGAGGATTCAGTAATTTGCTCATGATCATATAAAAGCAATGATGTTATGAATTTACTGAGGATCCTGCTGGCAGGGATATTATAAGTGAATTGTGCTGCATTTGCAGCTGATTAAAATCGAGATCAGCATTTTTCAAATTATCTTGGGAAAAGGCTGGGTGTACAGCTCCCCCCTTCTGCTGTCATCTCCCTTTTGTACAAAATATAAACAATCAGGGTAATCATTTTGGCGGTGGAAACGCAGCTTGCGATTTTCAGAAGCGGCTGAGCGGATATTTTGCTGGGGAAACTGAAGTCCCTAATTGCTTTCCAACTGAGGACACAGGGTTATTTTTGCCATTTCTTCCCTACTTTTCCTCACCCCCCCCTCCTTTTTTAGAGTAACCTCCCTCGAGTAATAAACTTTTAACTGTATTTATAATTGACTAGGATCTTTAAACAAGTGCGAACTGGAGCAGAAACCTTAATAGATACGGCGGGCTTTGCCGAACGGCTGAATTTAGGGAGCGTGCCGTTAGGCGGGGAGCTGGCACGCGGGGGGGAAAGAGGCGCCTGCCAGAGGCGCTCGTCCTCTGGGCAATTAGCACGAGTTCCACCAGCGCCTCCATGACGCCCCTCGCAGCTCCTGTGTGCTTTAACCGGCCGTACGCGGCGGCAGAAGCACGGGTGGGAGGGCTGCTGTGCTGCCTTGATGGTAATTCCCACTTTTATCCCCTCGCGAGCGCTGGTTGAGCTCTCAGTAGCTGTGGGATGTGAACCAGGAGGAGGAGGAGGAGGCAAGTGAGGCCATGCCGCGGCTGCAGGCTGAGCGGTGCCCCAGGGTTTATTTGTCCTGTCTGATGGGGGGACGGGCTCAGAAATCCCTTAGATGCCCGCTGCTGTGCTGCCTTGATGGTAATTCCCACTTTTATCCCCTCGCGAGCGCTGGTTGAGCTCTCAGTAGCTGTGGGATGTGAACCAGGAGGAGGAGGAGGAGGCAAGTGAGGCCATGCCGCGGCTGCAGGCTGAGCGGTGCCCCAGGGTTTATTTGTCCTGTCTGATGGGGGGACGGGCTCAGAAATCCCTTAGACGCCCTCCTTGCAGGAGCAGGTTTGCAGCTTTTCAGCTCCCAGGTTGCAGCCCAACCAGCTCCCGGGTCGGAGACTGGTTCACAGGGAAGGGTTGTGTCCCCATGGACACAGGCGGTGCTCCCAGGTCACACTGACCTTGCTAGTGTAGGGTGATAAAGTTGATGACCCTGGGTTCCTCAGCAGTAACACCAGGCAGAGCTGGCTGTAAATGTGTGATGGTTCGGTGCGAGCGTGCCAGCCTTGGGGTAGGGTCAGGATCCCATGCCGGGCAGCCATACCTGCAGTCTTTGCCCTCAATGAGGCACCAAACACGTGGTTTGGGACACCACTGGGACCTCCATTTGCTGCAAGCGTGAGTGTGATGTGACCTCCACAGTCCTTCCCTCTTGCAGGATTTACCTTGGTTTTCTGTGGCTCTTCTGAAGGGGCAGACATAGCCCTTCATCTCCCAACTGCCATTTCCATCAACTAAGCATCTACCCCATAAAGTCCAGATGAGATCCCCAATTTCCTTACGTCCCTCTTCATTCCCGTGCTGTAATTTTTGGCAATTCCCTGTGCCCAGGTGTCCGGTTCCTGGCTGCGTTGGGCTCGGACACATCAGTGGCAAATACGCCTCTCACCGGAGCGCGTCAGGGTGCCCTCTCGCAGCCCGCAGGCAGAAGGAAGGATCGCTCAACGGCTCCTCATTTTCCTGGAAGTCATTGAAGAACGAAGGCCCAACCTGCCCTACCCCAGGCTGTGACGGCTCCGGCCATGCCAACGGGAGCTTCCTCACTCACAGAAGGTAAATCGCAGGGTTGAAATCACCGGGAGCGTGACTTTGCCATGGACTGACCTGCCTGCCTGTCGATGCTGCTTCAGCATCCGCTCAGCTCTTCACGCAAGGCTCAGTAGCTGCTGCTTTTGATGCTGACCTCAGCCAGGTGGCTCCAAGGTTGGAGCTTTCTGCAAACGCATAGTTGTTTTACTATGGCAATGGTGAGAAGTGGATTGGGCAAAATCAGGAAAATTGATAAGATAACGTCCTTCCATAAGCAAGCCAGAAGAGGACTTGGGCACCCTAAGCAGGGGGGTTGACGCCCAAACCAGCCGGACTTGTCTCACCTTCCTCGCCTGTCATGCCCTCTCTTTTAGGAAACAATGTGGGTTTTAATCTTTGTTCAGAGAAAATTGCTCTTGCTGTATAAATGGGGAGTTTCGTGGCATTATTCATAAAGCAATTTCCTCCGTACCATAAAAAGCTTTTAGACGAACTGTCTCGCAGCATGAACTCCACCAAATGGTACGTGCTCGTGTTGGGAACATAAGCACCTATAAATACCCAGAGATTACGAAACCCCTTTTTCCTTGCTTTTCAGTTTGTCAGGGTGTCCAAGAGCTACTTTTGCTGGGAAGAAAGGAAAACTCTCAGGGGATGAAATTCTCAACACAAAGTTCAAGACCAGCGATGGTAAGGATTTTCACTCCCTTGGCTCTGCAGGTGTGTCGGGCTCTTGAGCCCAAATTTCTTTCACTTTGCAGACAGGAAGGGTTTCGACCCAGAAATCTGGCCTCAGATCCGCAAGCCTGTCGTGTGCTATGAGCACCCATTTCTTGGGTTGCCTGGGTATTGGGGGTGGCGTGGGACCGGCACCGCTCCCCGAGTGACACACTGGGAGGGAACAAGTGAAACAATAAAGAAGAAATTTCCATAGCGAAATTCCAGGCAAAAAGAATTAATGCTGAAATGGAGATTTGGGGTTTTTTAAAAAAAATATTCACTGGCATTTTTACAAATCGCTTGCAGTCGTTCAGCGATTTTCACCTATTCAGGGCTTTTAATCCTGCAGATATTTCTGGATCTGGAATTTTGTTAGCGATGGCACTTTGCATTTCCAGTGCTGTTACTGAGGTTTCTGTGGTATTTGACAAGGTTCAGGCACTTGACTTTAATACTTACATGGTTTGGAATCTATAAATACCTGCACTCGTCTAGAAATATTGCTTTATTTTATGAACGTCGTAATTTCTCATCAAGACCTGCATTAGTTTTTTAAATGGCATCTTCCCAAACTCAGGACTGGACAGAGTGACCTGAGTTTTCAGGGCAATCAACCTTGCAGGGGGCGTGGAGGTGCTGGCCTCCCACCACTGCGCTGTCGTTGGCTGTTGCATTTACTTATTGACCTATAAAACGTCATTGAACCGTGATGCTAAAAACATTACTAAAAAAATAAAAATAAAAATAAGCAGGTGAGATGTGCCTCCCGTTTAGGGGATGTAGAAGCAAAGGCGAGGACTTTGCAAGCAGTGATGTCTACGCAACAGGATGGGCTCAGCAGAAAGCCCAACGTTTTTGTTTATCCTGCAAGCGTTTGGTGACTGCCTGTGACCTTCTCTCCTGCAGTTCTGGAGAACGATGAAGAGATCAAGCAGCTGAACAAGGAGATCAGTGAGCTGAACGAGTCCAACTCGGAGATGGAAGCGGCCATGGTGAAGCTGCAGTCGCAGGTTTGTGTGCTTGGAGGTGCGCCCAAGCCCACGGATGCATGGCCAAGCCCCTTGTGTGGGTGGCGGTGGGTGCCGTCGCGTGAGGGTTGGTAACCCTGCCGTGCGCCTTGCTCTGCAGATCTCCACCATGGAGAAGAACCTGAAGAACATTGAGGAGGAAAACAAAATCATAGAGGAGCAAAACGAAGCCCTGTTCCTGGAGCTCTCAGGGTTGAGCCAGGCTCTAATCCAAAGCCTTGCCAATATCCGCCTTCCGCACATGGTAAGAAACTTTGACAGCGCTCGCCCCGGCCAGTGTGAGCGAGGGAGCCGTGCCAAACCCAATTCACGAGAAGGCTTATGTACAATTAAAGAGTGGGAGAATTTCTCTCTATACACCTACGGGTCCTTTATAAGATCAGTACTTTTGCCTTATCTCTGAAGCTTGCATTGTATCTCCCTTTTGTTGGCATTTTCTGCTGATCTCCCTTTGTATCTATTGTTCTGTCTCATTACATCGCGTCGCATTATCACAAAATAGGAAACTTTATCAAGGGCACCCAGCACCTTTTAGGCTAAGGCAGCACAAGCAGAGATCAGGAGGGATTGGATTTCGACGTTAGAAAGATCTTACAGCTCCTATTGTAGTGCAGGGAGTTTCAATTCGGTTTTGAATAGCTGGCAGCCAAAGAATAGCATTCTTAAAGAGAGTGTATTTTGTTTAATTTAGCAAGGTCTAACAGCCCACAGCGTGTTACGCAGAGTTACTGCAAAATGAAAAGCCTGCATTAAAATAGTAAAGCCACAAAAGGCTATTAATTACCTTCTATTCCCAGGAATGTAATTACTGTTGTCAAAACCAGGTGTGCGGAGGGGGATGCTCGTGTTGTTGGGAAAGCTGTCCTCTCACGACTCATAAAGACCGTCGCAACGATCATAGGAATGAGCTTTTGATTTCCTTTTTCTGCCATCATTTAGGGTTTTTTTTTTTTTTTTTTTGGGTTTTCCCGCAGAGCAATGTAAAGTAGACCCCACCATGCTCCTGTGTGGGGTGGAATATCAAATTACAGACCTGAAGACCAGTCCTGAAATCAAAGATCACCAAGTATTTTTGCCCGTTTTTGGGGTTTTTTTTTTTTTTTTTGGGTTTTTTTTTTTTTTGGGAATCCTTTTCATTGGGGTTTGTATTTCATTTCAGGCTGGTTGGAGGGAAGCCATCCTCCAGCAGAGCAGTTTTGGATAGTATTCACCCAGCTGCCTAACTGGCAGAAAACCGCTCGCTGAGTGCTTTTCTGTAAAGTATTTGACACATAGAGGTCAAATAAACTGTTCAGCAAATATTTTTTCAAGGTTTCAGGCAACTCCAATTAAATAATGCCCACGAGACTTGTGTGCTCATTTTATTCCTCCTCTTTTTCTTCCTTCTCCCGTTCTTTTTTCCCCATTAACTCCATGTTAGATGTTTGCAAGGTTTCCCCAACACCCCTCAAAAGCAAAAGCTGTACCGCGGCAGCGTGCCGGTGTGGGGAGATGTGAGCCCGAGGTGACCGGGCTCCTCTCCTAACTTTGCCTTTGATTCCCTCCGTCATGCTTTGGCAGTCCCTGCCTCCTTTTGTCCTCCAGCCCTTCATTCCCATGGCTGAATTCAGCCTTGAGCCTATCAAACTGCCTGCACACGCTTAACCTGATGGTGTTAATCATTCCATGAGGCCAATGTGTAAAATTAAGGACCCAGTTAAGATCCGGCAGGATCAGGGGTTGCATGATGAGATTCCCATATGTACGACACAGTGCACAAAAAGGGTCCGCCGTGGAGATCTTTGCCTGGTGGTACATATGGATGATCCATTGCAAAGAAACATCTCAGCCTCTTCCTGCCCTACTGCTAACAATTTTAATTGGCTTTTTCGGCTGCAGGAGCCAATTAGTGAGCAGAACTTCGATGCGTACGTGAACACGCTGACTGACATGTACACCAACCAGGAGTGCTACCAGAACCCGGAGAACAAGGACCTGCTGGAGAGCATCAAGCAAGCTGTCAAGGGCATCCAGGTTTAGTGCCGCGGGACGGAGACGAGCGAGTGAACAGACTGTAAGATGGAACTTTCCCTCCAAGTATTCAGGTTTACAAGTTAGAAAACTTGTTTAATGAATGAAAAAAAAAAAAAAAAAAAAAAAAAAAAGGACCAAAATGTAACCAAGAGGCCATTTCTGAGACGTGGAACTGATCAAACTCAATGTTCTCGTTTACTTAACTTTGGACCTTCTTGCGAAAAGTTGGATTTTTCCACCTGGACCACAAGGTAGATCAGGATGGAAGGTTAAATTCTCCAGTAGGCCGTGGGGCTTGGTAGCTGGTGAAGAGCAGGCATCTTTCATGAGTTGCCATGCTCTTGCAGAGTTGATCCAAGAGTTAAAACGTTACAAGAACAGGGTCTTGTCTGATCCAAGACTAGCGTATGACTGGCTTAAACCCTCATGTTGTCTATGGTTGTATGTCCAGATCACCTACTCACACATGAATTATGTTCTATGTTGCTACAAGTGCTGGAGCTGCAAGCTACCTGTAAATCTGAACCTGTGCTGGGCCTCCCAACCCCGAGGTGTTCAGATATCCACTGGGCATGGGAACTCTGAAGTATTATAAAGTAGCTTATTTTTATTTTCTGAAAGAAATCCGAAGAGCAGTTCTGGATCTCCAGTGGAAAGCGCAATGGAAAAAAGGTTCTCAGGGAAGCTTTTGGAGTTTGCAACTACAGTATTCCTTTGTCTGTCTTAAATATGAGAATAGCTATTATGAATAGGCCAATATCAGATATTTCATACGGAAGAATTCTTAATGTGTCATGGTCCAGTGTATATGATTTTTTGGAGGTCTGTTTGATGACAGTTCTGGTTCTTTTCATGATTGTGATCATCCTTACAGTGGCGCAGTACTGCCAGTCCAGAGATCATACATCAATGCCAGAGAACGTTTGAGATTGCGATGAACAAAAAAAGAAAAAAAAAAAAGAAAAAAAAAAAAACACCAAAAAAACCCCCAACAAATAGAGATATATTAATTGATGGCTAGCAAAGTGCTTACCTACCGCGAATCAGTAGTTGATTTCTCACAGGTACCCCCAGGGCAATGGGTATTTTTTGGTTTGGTGTTCTACGTTTTGTGCAAAATTGCAGCGCAAGCACCATTTGGGAGGAGGGGGGGGCGGGAAAAAGAGTATTCAGGTATTGGGTATTCTTCCAAAGACGCATTCTGTAAGCAGCTTGGTACACGCAGCCCACTGTGCACTTAACAAACAACTCTTTGAATGTCTTTGCGACGCTGCTCGCCAGCGCCAGCTCCATCGGGCGTGGAGCCGGCTGTCACCCCGCGGGATCGCTCCCATCCGGAGCTCGCTGTCCCCCTGCTGCAAACACTTTGGAAGCAGAGGGGGGCAAACCCCTCATCCCGAGGGGTCCCAGTGTGAGGAGCATCCACATCCCGCGTCCCGCGTCCCTCCCAGCGGCGGGGCGGGCAGAGCTGGGGAGGATTTTGCTGATGAAGGCAAGACTGTGGCGTCATGTCGAGCTCGATCCTGTGGATATTTTGGGAATGATCCAGGATTCAGAGAAGTCAGTAGAAAGCTTCTTCCCAGCGCCTGCAGCGGCCCCTGGATCCGGCCTCGAAGCTCCCGAGCATCCCGGCTCGTGTCGGTTCCCTTGCTGAGTCCAACAGGGCAGCGGGCAGGGGTGGGCTTGCTCCCGGCCCGAAGCGTTTGCAGGATCAGGCTCCACCAGTTCACTTATTTTAGAACCCATTCCAAGTGCAAAAAATACAAACAAAAGGGGAAAAAAAAAAAACAAAAAACAAAACCTAAATAATTTGAGGTGTTAAAAACACAATGTTCTTAAGATGTAAATAGAGTCCAAATTGATTGTGACTGCAATTCAGTTAGTATTTAAAAGTAGAGAAATTGCACTTCCTGGAAGAAAGAGAGGGATAAAAAAAAAGTAGTTAGGTTAATTATCCTGTAAATTATTTAATTTTGGCAAGATGTATGTAATTTATATTTACAACACCTTATGTTAACTTTTTGCTATTTATTTAACTTTTTTTATTTATTAATTTTATACTTATTTTAAACTGGACACCGCACCATAGAAAAGAAGATAAAAGAAGCAAAAAAAAAAAAAGTTAAAAATGAAAACTTTTGACCATAAAAAAAAATGATATTCCAAAAAAAAAAAAAAGAAAAAAAAAGAAAAAAAACCCTATCTACAACTCCTACTTGTAATTTTGATGCAACCAAGTTATTTTTTATATATTTTGTTATTTATTCTTTTAACGATGGGAATTTTTTTAAAGATATTTTATAACTGAGACATTTTGATAATTTTTTGGTTTGTTTTTTTGCGGGGGCAGGGGCACCGGGGGGGAAGAGAGACTTTTTCAGTTTTTCTTTTCTTTTTCATTCATATTGTTTCAGGCACTGAGAACAGGAAATGAAAATTCTGTATTTATTATTTATTTAATATTTAAGTCGGGAAAAAAAAAATAATGAACTGTGCTCTTGTTGTATATTTATTTTGTCGTTTGTGTGTCAGTTATGTGATGACTGAGTACTTGTTTATGTGAAGGAATACTGTTAATATTTAAATAATAAAGAGTCACATTGAAAGTTATAGCAGGCTACATGTTATTCTGTGAAAATGAATACTGTGATCTACTTTCCTCAGGAAATGTATTTTGCAGACAGAACTTCCTTATGTAATGGCAGGGTTATTTCGTAATAAAACCCAGTTCTGTTTGTGACTTTAGTTCCTATGGTCTTTCTTCGAGCTGCTGCCAACGGCCCCAACGCGTCCCCGATGGGCTTCGTCCTTGCTGTGGCTTGGAGGGTTGGTGTGCGTCCCCCCTCGCAGCTGCGGCCAGGGACTGCTCTCCCCAAACCTGGCTCTCCCCACCTGCTAAACTGGGGGGATTCAGGGGGAATTTAGGGTTGGTATCTCTGAAGGCTTTGAAGAATAAGGAGCTGTTGCCATCCGGCCAAGCAGGTCCCTAAAATCCTGCTGGTTCCATGATGGGGAGAAGCAGAAGTCCAAGCAAAGGTAGGTATTTGCAACGGTACGCTCTTTATTTTCTTGGTCACTGGAGCCCCTTTCCCAAGGCAGGGTTTCCCTGGGCAGGGGTCGCATCCTGCACCCCCAGCACTCGGCATCCCCGGGATTTTGCAGCTTCATGCTCCCGCAGGTGGTGCGCGAGCGGAGGAGATGCTGTCAGGAGCAGTGCAGGAGATGCCAGCCCTGGGGGTGCAGAGATGGCCACTTTCCCCTCCTGGATTTACACAAAGGCCTCGTCAAATCGATCTCTGAGGTTTAGCGAAAATGCTGGGAAAGGGCTCGTTCTTGTCAGCGAGATTTCCCCGCTTGTATCTGCCTGACCGTGATGTCCACAGATTACCTTCCTGGAAGAACGGAGCTTTTCCACTGGCAAAAGAGTTTATGTTTTGAAGTGGTGGCAATGAAGAGAATTTCTCACCAGTCCCTGTGTTGGAGACATCATTTCTGAAGTCGCCGAAATTCAGTTTCGCTTTGCTGTAGCTTCCAAGGTGAAATAAGGTAAATCACATTAAGGCCATTTGGAGCAGAGTGAGTTGGGTCAAATGGGAATTTCAGGTGGGCACATCACCAAGAAATTAAATTCTCTGATTAACTGAGCTGAACTTCCCTGACCGTCCCCATGCAGAGGCACAAGCGCTGTTGGGTTAAAGCAGGAGGTGGTGGCTGTGCTGCAAAGACACAAGGGTGAAAGGCAGAGTAAAATGGAGCCAAAAGGGTAAGAATTGTAACCAGAAAACCTTGGAGCAAAGTTTTGGGTGGCCTTCAAGCCTTTCCTCAAGCATGTACATGGCCATGGGTGTTCGTGGGAAGTTTCTTTTGCCTTCGTTGGGTGTCTGCAAGCTCTCTTGGGGCAGGACAACTGGCAGAGGCTCATGGGGATGGTGGAGGAGAGGACATCTCTCCTGGAGAGGCTACAGTGATTCTCTTGCTTTGTGCTGGTGGGTTTCCAGGGCCAGCATGGTGGGCAAGTGGGCTGCCAGCTCTGCCACCGACTCTGCCCTCTTCCTCTCTTTTGCAGGGCATGCTACGGAGATCGCAGGTGCAATTAGAAGTTGCCCTTCTGCCCTGCAAGGCAGGGGCTGATAAAAGTGATCCAACGTAGGGCCCACGGTCTCCCCGAGTTGTGGCTGACAGCAAACCCAGGGGTTATGAGGAGCCATGAAGCACCACAGCCACCAAGGAGGCACAGGGGAGGGTTTGGGTCAGAGCTTTCATGCTGACCCCACGCGTGCAGCAGTAAGAGACCTTCCCTCAGCTTCACTGCAGCCCCAGCTCTGGCATGGGAGGTGTCCTGGGACACAAGCCATCCTGCCCTAGCTTTATATTGAGACAAGCCGGAGACTTCACTGCGGCACTCTTGGCTCTGCCGAAAGCAAGGGCTCCTCCTGCCTCTGCCGAGCTCCTTCTCCAGCTTCTGCTACCAGCACTGGCTTTCCTCTCTCTAAGCAGCCAGATTTAGGACCTGCTCTGGATCACCAAGCCATGTTGTCCCAAACGCCTGAGCAGAAACACCCTCGGGAGCGAGGACTGCTGGAGACCAAGCCCAGGAGCCATGGAGCACAAGCCCCAAGGACAAGCGCTCTTTGAGGCTTTGCTGGACACAGCTTAGAGCGGATGGGGATTTTGTCCCCTCCACAAAGGGCTGCACATCTTAAAAGGAGAAAAAGAGGGCGACTCGTGCAATGGTTCACCTCAACTGGCTGGCATGTTGTTTTTCTGAAGGGCATATGCTTGTTTTATGGGGGGGGAGGGGGGGGTTCGCTAGACTTTGCACCGCCGAGCAGTTCCTTGTGCCAATATTTGATTATGATGGTAGAACTAATAGACGAGCTCGCTTGTCCTTTCTTAACGAATTGGCTGTGCTGCATAATAGAGCGGTTAGATTTGTGTTAAATTGCAGCTTTGGGAGCCATCACTGTGAGATGTTATCTTCTCCGAACTGGCGTCCTTTATCGCAG